ATTACAGTCATCTGCTCTAGAATCCTGGAAGTCCCTGACGCCAATCAGTATGATGTCGCCTTGCTTGATCCAGACTTTGTTCAACCTTAGCGATCCTCGAATTTGGCTAATCCGATTGCTGTCGGTGCGGTCCGCCTTTCGTTGACGACGATTCTTTCCTCCTTTCCCTTTATTCGGCCGCATGGCTGTCACCGAATGAGAGGATGTTCTCGAACACAAGGAACAATGCGCGCAACTGAATCTCTCCTTTGTAGCTTCACGTTACACTGATAGCGGTCTTAGAAATTCTGCAAGCAAAACTCTATCCTACACTCCAGTGAACTTGGGAAAAATGCACCCTAAACATGCTGTAAGCTCGCATTTATACCCTCGTTCGGGCGAGCAAGGCCCTTGCGAGCAAGGCCCTTGCGAGCAAGGCCGTGGACAAGCGCTGGCGATACACGTAGTAAATGAGAGATGAGAAATGGGAGGTGGGTGGGTGAAACAGAACGATCTGACCAGAGTGATCCACACACAGAACGGATCGAAATAATATATAACTAAGCAACTTTTAGCATGACACGTTGAGTGCCCACGACGCCTGCCGCCTACGATGAGCGTCGCGCATGAATGAATGTCACGTTGAGTGACACATAGAATGCCACGACGCATAGCATGCAGCAAGGCGTCTGACCGACATGGATACCGTGATGTACAGCGCACGTGACTGTAGCCAGCAGCAAGATGAGCATACAGTAAAAGCGCCAGCAATAATAGCAGCATAGCACGAATCAGCCGCGCGCACGCATTAGTCTGCATTATTACTATATTTAACTACAACCCACAGAAGCTTGCGGTTAGGAGGTTAACTACAACCCACAGCAGCTTGCGGTTAGGAGGGTGCTGGCCAGCCAAGTGAAAGGCTACAGAAAGAGCAGGATCTTGGCGGAGCCAAGAGGATAGTCACGTCTTCACTGATGCGATGTCAGGTGCTGGTAGGGTAATAAGCGGCGGGCCGTAATCTCCCGCAATCTGCGCGCAAAGCAACGCCACGGCTCGCCGCACGAACCTGCAGTCGCGTGTGGATTGGGTTATTGTACCAGAGGCAGACGAGCGCTGCCTGCAAGCCCTTGGAGTAACGTAGGATAAACACAGGCAGACGCGGACGACTGCCGCTCATGCAGGTTAGTGATGCACTGTTCCTGGCGCACGCCGTTGCTGTTCGCTGACAACTTTCCTGCTCCGAATACTCGTAGATAGGCGACGCAATGTAGCCAGTGGCGGGCATCAGGCGCATGCCGCAGAACTTGACAATGCACTTGGCGTACTGTCGGCACAAGTCGCCGACCTCTGCCGGAGCTCGCCGGGGCATGGTGCAAGCACTAGTCTCGTCCGCAGGAGGCTCCAATGACGATGCTGGAACGAAGGATGGGCTCTGGATTCCCAGCCATAGCCGTGCGCCCAGGAGAGACATAACGGCACTGAACACGGCCGTCACCGGGGCGATGACCACATTGTACGATCCTATTGAGCACGATCCTGTCAGCAGGTCGCCGTCGATCCGTCGAAGCAAGAACCCGGCGATCGTCAGTGCCGTGGGGGCGAGCCACACGATGATGTTAACGTCAGCGTAAATGAAAGAGTCAACACAAGCAAATGAATCAAAGGGAACTGGTCAACTCACCTGTCATTGAGTAATATTCCGTGAAAGGAGGTCTCAGCAGAGCCAAAGCGAAATAAGCCAGGAAACGAAATATCCGAAACAGCTCATGCAAGAAGCAGTTCCAAAGAAGTAAGTAAAGTTCCTCGCGCATGCACATCCGAAAACACAATGTCTGCCGTGCACGTGCACAGCACGCGGCTAGATTAATACCGAGCACCTTACGTAGAAACTTACGTAGCCTAAGTGAAATACCGAGCACCTTACGTAGAAACTTACGTAGCATAGCGATGTCGTTTTTTCTGCCATGTGAACACAATAATAGAAAAGCTGACAGGATCGCTTTTCTAAATAATGCCCAGCTGTGAAGGCAGTTCAAAACAAACCAACACATATGGGGCTGTTAAGTGTGACGTCACGGCCCCTTCGAGACGCATAGCAACGGAGAGCACTGGGGACAAACAAAAGTCGCGTCCACTGGATGGAACCAGTTGTCAAAGGCAACAGCATCTAAATGACTGGAGAGAGAGCAGTTTTTCTTTGCTTTTTCTTCAAGCGATTGTTGTCGCTGTTTACTTCTTGTTCTTTCCTTTACAAATCTCCTGTAGTCGTCGAGGGCCTTCATAATGGCTGTGAAATTGGCTGCCCACTGTAAAACTCCGTGTTTGAGAGTGCTTTGAAGATTCTTCGCGTCCTGATGGATCAAAGTACGAGCGATCCCTGTGGATTCGATTATATGTAGGTGAGTTGTACAAGAAATCAGTGTCTTCTTTCTGTCTCTGCCCTCAAGCTGGCACAATAATATCAGCCTATATCCATAACAGCTCGCACCTCCCGTAAACTGCATGACTTAGATATATTCTCGCCCTCCGTGGTGATTGAAGACCCATGGAAGAAGTTATTATGTTCAGAATGATATCCTGAGAATATAAAATAATTCGAGGGAATTGTTACAGGGTATTTTGGAAGGATGGGGAGAGAGAGAGAGAGAGAGAGAGAGAGAGAGAGAGAGAGAGAGAGAGAGAGAGAGAAAGAGAGAAAGAGAGAAAGAGAGAGAGAGAGAGAGAGAGAGAGAGAGAGAGAGAGAGAGAGAGAGAGAGAGACAGAGAGAGAGAGAGAGAGAGAGAGAGAGAGAGAGAGAGAGAGAGAGAGAGAGAGAGAGAGAGAGATAGAGAGAGAGAGAGAGAGAGAGAGAGAGAGAGAGAGAGAGAGAGAGAGAGAGAGAGCAGTGAAGTGTTTGTCCCACTGTAATAACTCCAGATTATTGAATGGTGTATGATCTACTCGATATTTTCCACAATGGTTTTTCCTGATTTGCGGGATCTCTTCTTTTGCTGTTTGCGTGTTTACAGGAAGTGACTGTCTGGTGTATCTGCACCAGATCCTGGGGACATGAAGTCAGATGCAGAGGCAGTGTCGTCCAGTCATGCAACACTGCCGTTCTATGTGCAACGTCACCGCTAATTCCCCCGGCGAAAACACAAAAAGACAAAACACGTCAAGAGACTACAGTATTGACCGTTCTGGTAATGAAGCGTGACTGCTCTGACAGTCGATAATCGAAACACAGAGCACCAGCACGATGTTTTGATATTGGGAACCACACACCAGCTCAATTCTCAACCCCAAAAGCTCAAGCCCAAATATTGATGAATACAAAACACCGAGCGACGCAAACCAACCTGGGTCTAATGCACTGAATAGTCCTGAAATACGCAGACCACACAAAGCAGTGCAAGCACATACTGTTACAAGGTAAATGCATTGCATAACAAAGTGTAACCAAAAATACACGGGGTTATAGCTGCACACTCGTGCATGTGCTCGCTCAGCCCAAGAACACGTATGATGATAGAAATAATCCGGGGGAAACACGCTAGCACCGAAGTAAGCATCAAGACGTAAATAGTCATCATCACAAGCCCATAGCCCTAAGGCCGTCGGGGCTTCACAGAGCAAGTATGAACAAGCGAGCGCCATAAAAATCGATCCGGTGCAGCAGCGAGCAGGGACTGCACGTCAAGTGCAGTCCATGAAATAATATTATCAAGCCATGACATTCTGGGCCTGCCTCGGCCACGACTTCCAGCAACACAACCCTGAAGAACAGTCAATGACAAACAGCCGGAACGAACAATATGACCAAAAAATTGCAATTTCCTTTTACGAACAGAAACAATAAGTGGGACTTGTTTGTGAATACTATTTATTTCCTCTCTAACAGACACATTCGTCCGTAAACAGTGCAGCTCTGAAAAAGTAAAAATTGCATTGACATGTACATTGGTGTGCCGAGTAGTATCCTCCTTGATTACCCATCCAACCAAGACGTTATCAGGTCCCCTACCGCCGAGATCGCACGCCGAATGTGAAGTGCATCTAGCCTTGAACCTGTTGCACAAGGCACACACATATGACAAAAATGACATCCACTCCGATTATTTCCAGAGGCCAATCATAACAGTACACAGAAATGAAACCACGGGCTCAACAAAGTACATGTAAACGCAAAGGAAATTAGATAAAATGGTTGGTTGGTTGGTTGGTTGGTTTTTATTTCACTTCGCACATTCAAACGGGATGACGACCCAATAAAATGACGGCGAAGGCTTAGCCTAGAAGTGGCTATGGAAGAACATAGTAAAAGCTATGGAAGCACATAGTAAGAGAATAGGATACTAATAACTGCGGGTAAACGGAGGGAGAGAGAGAATACGATGTATCTGTGATACTACGTGCGGGTTACTGAACTGCACGGGGAGGGAGAGCAGAGCAATCAGCAGCAACTCGAACTACTCCCTACAGGCGTATGGTACACATGCATGCTTAAACTCAGGTAGCCGGGTAATTGTGCGGACCTCACCAGGGAGAGCGTTCCACAGCAGAGCAGTAGGAATGGACGAGCGGGTTCTGGGCCAGGGGGCGCCCGGGTCCCAAAAAATGGGGTATTATTGAAAAATGGGGTACTAATAGTACCCCATTTTTGCGGTGAAAATTATTTTTGGCCCGGTTTTTTTGCGGATAAAAATATGTGCCAGGGGGTGCCCCTACCTCAAAAAAAAAAGGGGGGTATTATTGAAAATATGTATTGGGGTGTTATGCTCTACCCTAAACAATAAGGTAATATGGTGTCATGATTTGGAATTCTACATGTATCATTAATTTTGATTTTTAGGGTGTGGGTAATATGTCCTACCCTACATCATAATATTGCATTCCGATGTCTAAAATATTACTATTTCAAATGTCAATGTTATCTCACTTTTTCCAATTTTATATTAATCAGAACTCATAGTTTTGCAGTATTTTGACTTGTAATTTCAATTTTTCGGATCATTTTCCGGACTCGTAAGCTGTACCCAGATCGGTGAGTAACCGAACGGTTAATTCATCTTTATTACTACAAGAAAATAAATAAAACTTCTCTACATACGGTTCGGATGTTGACCAGGCCGACATCTTTGATCTGGTAGAGAGAGAAATTCTGGAGACGGTACTCGATCATCCAATGGACTCAAAAATGAATTGTGAACCAAAAATGAAATTATATCAGGTTTTATAGGTCCCGCCAAGTCCCGTCCCGCCGGGTCCCGCCTCCGGGAAGGTGACGACCTTGGAGAACACGGTGAACACGGTGCGCGCCAAAAACCAAAACGTTGCTCGCGACATGTCGTGTCTTTTTTGGTTCGGGTTTGGAATCTTTCCATTGACATAAGTCAATTAGTTTTCCATCTATGTCCGTAATCGAAAGGTCCATGAGGTGTAGAATTTTTCTAGCTTTCCTCTCGTATAATTCTTTTCGACATACAACAATTCTTTCTCGAACTTTTAGCTGCTGGAATACCGGATTCATCTTGACCTCAGATGCACAGATCATGCATCCATGCATTGACGTCACAGTACATCATTGCAGCACTGATTTCACTGTGAAGTGTGGAACATGGGTCAATGCGCGATAAAAGGATGAATGTGATTTCAGCGGGAAGTGCGCTAATTGGTCACATGTTTTCAGCGGGAAGTGCGGTAAGTGGTTAATTGTTTCCAGCGGGAGATGAGTGGATTGGTTAATTGAAAAACAACCAGTTATTCCGAATTCAACTATTACGAAAACCCTATAAAAATAGATCCTCGGTACCTTGTCAAGCCATTGTGTGGTTGTCCGCCACCACCCCTGCTCAGGATGGAACCCATTCGGAAGAAACCTCGTCAGTCTTTTGATGTAGTGAGATCATCTGATCTGTTGCAATTCTTTAGTTATTGTCCTGATCAAGAGTTTGCAGATGTACTAAAGTTTTTCTCTCATGTTCTACCGTCGCTGGAGCTGCTTCTTGAAGAGAATATTGAGCAATGGGGTCAGTACAAGTGTTCTTTGGTAGTTCAGGTGGTGATGCAGAAGCTGAATCCTGCTACAGGACAAATGGTTTCCAACACATTCTTCTTCCGATCGAGTACAACGCTGGTGCTCAACACCATGGAGCTGAGGGACCTTCTCAGTAGGATGATTGCTCAGATCAACGCTCGTCTTGATGATTTCGTTCGTCATGGATCAGGTTGGGTAGTTGAACGGATTTCCTGTTTACACATCGAAATGTCACGCTACTGTGTACTTGGAGGAAGTTCGTACATCCCCTTGCCACCGGAGTTGAAGTCGAAGAAGGCCATTGTTAACGTGCAGAACACTGACAACAAGTGTTTACTGTAAGTATAGCAGTGGGGTTTCAGTGTGGTGATACGGTGTATGGATTGAACTGTATGACGCCTGTCCATGTCTTATGTCATCCGTACTTTAGATGGTCAATACTGGCTGCTAAATTTTCGGCAGACAAGTCTCATCCATGTCGTCAATCGTCGTACGCAGAACATGCGGATACTGTGGATGTGAGCGGCATCGAGTTTCCAGCAAAACTGGAAGACATACCAGTCATCGAAAGACTGAACGACGGTCTTTACATCAACGTCTTCGGATATGAAGAGAAAGTCATATATCCGTTAAGAATTTCTCAGCATCCGCAGTCCGCCATCAATGTATTGCTCATCCAAGACGAACGCAATGACGTGGAGGTGCAGCACTGGGTGTGGATAAAATCATTCAGTCGTCTTGTTGCTACTGGAGCACGTCGAGCACATTTCGTCTGCTTCAGATGTCTCTCAACACACGTCACGGAGAAGGCATTGAATAATCATATGATGTACTGCAGTGAACATCCTGAAGCCACGGTGAAGATGCCAAAGGCTGGCGATAGAGTGATGTTCAGGAATGTGAACAAGCAGCTTCAAGCCCCATTTGTAAGTAGAACATTTAATCAAGGTGAACACACTGTGGTCTGTTTTTTTTTTTTTTTTTTTTTTTTTTTTTTCTTTTCTTTTCTTTCCTGCACATGTTTCTTGACTCTGATTGTTCACCTTTCTGCTGTTTTACTCGGTGTTGTCTCTGCAGCTATTCCTAATTCTCTATCTGTCTTTTCCGCTGTTTTACTCGATGTTGTCCCTGCTGCTATTCCTACTTCTCTCTCTCTCTCTCTCTCTCAAATGCAGGTGATCTATGCCGATTGTGAGGCCTTCATAGAACCTCTGTCCGCTGACAAGAAAATCGGTCATTCGACATTCCAAAAGAACAAGCATGTAGCCTGTTCCTGTTCGTACATTGTAGTACGATCTGATGGCGTCGTCACGAACCGTTTCTTCTACCGTGGAGAAGATTCTATGTTCTGTTTTCTGCTGTCACTTGAGCAAGAGGAGGAGACTATCCGTGATGAGCTTCTAGCATGTAATGCTGGTCAAATGATCATTTCAGAAAGTCAGCAACGTGAATTTGAAACGGTAGTCTCCTGTTGGATCTGTGGTGAAGCGTTGGGTAGCGATCGTGTACGTGACCACTGTCACATCACCGGTGCTTACCGTGGTGCAGCACACAACCATTGTAACCTGAACATGCGGATTGAGCCGTTCAAGATCAAGATTCCTGTGATCTTTCATAACTTGAAGGGATACGATTCTCATCACATCATATCTGCCATTGGGAGAACGTCCACTGATGAGATTACGTATGTGAACGAGAAAGGACAAGAACGGGTACGTTACATATGCGTGGTGTGTGTGTGTGTGTGTGTGTGTGTGTGTGTGTGTGTGTGTGTGCGTGTGCGTGGATCATGATGTTTTTCTAAGAAGGAAGATCATTACTATGTTGGTACTCATATTCACGTTTATATGATTGATATTCATCTTTACAGCTGCACCTTAAAACTGTGTCTCCTCTTTTTCTTTCTTCTCAGACCAAGCGTCTCGGTGCTATCAAAGTGATTCCCATCAACAGTGAAAAATATGTCACATTCGGATGGAGACAGTTCCAGTTCATCGACAGCCTGGCATTCTTGAACACCTCCCTAGACCGGTTGGTTTCGGCCACACCACCAGATGCATTCGCCCTTCTATCCGCACGATTTCCAGACGAGGATGAACGCAAACTGTTGACACGAAAGGGTGTCTACCCGTATGAATATATGGGGTCGTACGACCAATTCGAAGAAACGCGTCTACCACCCAAGGATGCATTCCACTCAACGCTAACGAACACGGTGAGTAGTGTGATAGATATAGTAGATCTTTCTCTCTTTCTTTTTTCACCATCTTACTTCGAAGTACTAAAATAATCCAAGATGTGTTTGAACGCTTCCTACAGCTTCATACTAAATAATTGATTGTGTGGGCGAACTACTAAAATAAGTTCGTTGATTTGTTTTTCTTTTTGGTGTACATTTTCTATTCCCTAGGGTATCAGTGATGAAGACTATGCCTATGCGCAAACAGTATGGACTGTGTTTGACTGTGAAGATCTAGGAGACTATCACGACCTCTACCTGGAGACTGATGTGCTGCTGTTGGCTGACGTTTTCGAAAACTTCAGAAGAACTGCTCACGCAACCTATGGATTGGATCCCGCTAATTACCTCACCTTACCGGGATTTGCCTGGGATTCGCTGATGAAAATGACGAAGGTGTCCCTTCATCTCATTTCCGACATTGACATGTTCAACTTCATTGAGCATGGCAAAAGAGGTGGCATAAGCATGGTGTCCGCTAGACACGCCACCGCCAACAACAGATATCTATCGGAGTACAATCCAGACGAGCCGTCAAGCTTCATCCAATATTTAGATGCGAACAATCTATATGGATGGGCCATGTCTCAACCCTTGCCCGTGTCGGACTTCTGCTTTGAAGCAGTGACGGATGATCTTCTGGAGACGGTACTCGATCATCCAATGGACTCTTCGACGGGATACATGGTGGAGTGCGATTTAAGGATTCCAGATGGTGTGCATGACATGATGAATGACTATCCGTTGGCTCCTGAGAAGATGAAGGTGACACGAGATATGCTTTCTCCATATCAGACCCACATGGCAGAGAAACTAATGGTAAGTCATGGTCTATCTGGTGGATATGCTTGTATTAATCTTCTAAGGTTTGTGTATATCTATACTGTACTCTTGTAGGTGACCGGTTTGGAAGCGAAGAAACTGGTACCAAATCTACTACCGAAAGAGCACTATGTTCTGCACTACAGAAACTTGCAGCAGTATGTGTCCTTGGGTGTGGAGATTACAGATGTGCATCGTGTGCTCTCCTTCACACAACATCCATGGATGAAGCCATACATCGACACTAATACTGACCTGAGAAAGCTATCAACTTCTGATTTCGAGAAAGACTTCTATAAGGTGGGTACTCCACATCATGTGTGTGTGTGTGTGTGTGTGTGTGTGTATTTAGCGATAGTGTGGGATCTAGTATGTACTGGAAGTGTGAATGACCTGAAGATAACAGTTTTCTTATTGTTGTTTTTCTTGTCTTTTCTTTGTATGCCTGTTTATCGTAGTTGATGAACAATGCTGTATATGGCAAGACCATGGAAAACGTTCGAAACAGAGTAAACATCAAGCTCATTCGTGAACAGGATGAAAAACCACGTCTCCAGAAAAGCATCAACAAACCTTCGTACATCCGCAGTGTAGCCTTTGAGAACGATCTGATAGCAATCGAGTTTGCCAAGACAAAGGTGACTCTCAATAAACCCATTTATGTGGGTACAGCCATCCTCGATCTGTCGAAGCACTTGATGTATTCCTTTTACTATGAAGTTCTCCTACCCCGCTATGGACAAAATGTACGTTTGCTCTACACTGATACTGATAGTCTGATCGTACATATTCAAACGGATGATCTGTACACCGATATGTCAAACAACATAACAGCCTATGACACATCCAACTATTCACCATCCCACCACCTGTACAGCACGGTCAACAAGAAGGTGGTAGGGAAGTTCAAGGACGAACTAGGTGGCAAACCCATCAAGGAGTTCATTGGTTTGCGGAGCAAGATGTACGCATACCGCTGTGAAGACAACGACGACAATGGCAAGCGTGCCAAAGGTGTGCAGAGAAGCGTGTTGAAAAACACCATAACCGTCGATGATTATCGAACATGTCTCGTCGAGGAGTCTCAGCTGAAGAGAACAATGAATGTTCTTCGAAGTCGACGACATTGCATTCACGGAGAGGAGCTACACAAGATTGCCCTCTGTGGATTCGACAGTAAGCGTTACATTCTGGAGGATGGTATCAACACCCTGGCATTCGGACACAAGGATATTCCAAAGCACTGAGGGATTTCCACACATACTAGAGCATATGTCATATCTTCTCATGAAATACATTGTAAATACTATGCGATTCATAATATTCACGTTAATCCAAAGCATGAGCTACATTGTACATATGAAATGCTAATACTTTTTGAGATCATTCACATCCTTCTTTGTTAACCAGGTATGGAATTTTTCGTCTTGATAACCCTTCCATTTGACGAGCCGACTGTTCTTGTTGTATTTCAACACCTTATCGAATCTCAATCCTGTGTGTCTGGCATGTTGTAGCTCAGCTCCATAGAACTGTCCTTGAATGACTTCTCCCATCAGGTCTTGAACACGATAGGTGTGAGGTACAGTGGGTAGGACATCGTTTACCACGAACACTTCCTCTGTCCAGTTGGGCGTGTACCCTTTCTCGAAATGACGTTTAGCCACAGCCAAACGCACATCATCACCCACTTTGAATTTAGCTGGTGATTGCTTCGAGTGTACGTCTGCATCTTTTGGTTTTCCATCAAGAGAAGCTTTCGTGGGACTCATGCCGATACTGCGATGTTTCGAGCTGTTGTACTTGACCATAAGCTGAGGAAGGACGTCAAGATACTGTGTCGTAGCTTTCTCCGTGAAATGGCGCCACATTCTGCCTTTCAGTGTTCTATTGAAGCGTTCCACCACCACGGCTTTTCCTTCGTTGTGGGTGCTGTACATGATGATGTTGTGATCCTTGACCCATTGCTTCATTGTTGCATTGTAGAACTCCTTGCCTTCGTCTACCCATAGTTTTTGTGGTACCCTGTTCGATGTTTTCAGGATCAGGTCGAATGCATCCCTGACAGCAGAGCCAGTTTTGGTTTTCAGGGGTACTGCCCAGGCATAGCGACTGTACAGATCGATGACGGTCAGCAGGAATTTATAGTTCTTGTTGCTTCGGGCAAACCGTTGCATATCCACTAGATCGGCACTCCAGATGTGATCCACAGACCTGCTCTTCACCTTGCGTCTTTTGAAATGCACTCGTCTGGGTTTGTGCAATTCGTTAGCCAGTTGCGTGTGGAATGGTGTGGACTGCGACTTCTTCTTCTGTCTTCCATCATGAAGTGCTTTTTGCACTTTCGTATCCCACAAGGCTCCACCACCTCGCAAGGCACCTAAACTGAGAACCAGTTGATCGTTTTCCAGCTTTTCATCCTCATCGAAGACTCTTCGGAAAATTCGAAGTGCTTCATCCAGACCATATTTGGAAAATAGCTTTCCCATCAATATGGCATACCATCCACATACTGCTGTGCTTCTGTCTTGAACGGCTTGGGTGTTGGTGATGATCTTACAGTCTACATAGGCTTCTTTAAAGAAATCGCACAGTGCAGGTTCAGTGTAATCTTGCTCCATAGTGTATAGACTGCGTCCGAAACTGTCAAAAACCAGGATCACGTTTTGCTCGCGACACACGGTCAACCAATGATGTCCACCTTCCGGTGCATCGTACACCGGTAGAACGTTGTCGGTGTTGACGATACAAAAGTCTCCATTGTTCAAGGGTGGTAAGAGATCGTAACTTGTACACCCCACGAACCCTCCGACACCATTCAATCTTCCTTTGATGTCGGCACTGCTGAGAGGGTAGTCCATTCTTGATCATAGCCTGAAAATTTTCGCGCACGTGATCACATTGAACGTCCACTCAGGATATCCTTGATGATACGAGTGATCCTGCTTTTATCCTTCAGAACCTCTTGAATGAATGATGCATCGTCCACCATCACCTTTTGTGCTCTGATCATGAAATGCTCGGGATGGATCAATTTTGCTTCAGTTGTTCTACCATACGTAGAAGTCATATCGTTGAGATCTTGAAACTTGAGCTGCGATCCCGGTACAGCTAGCACTAGGGTGGCTAGTTCATGAATCTTTCGTTCTGATCGAAGGAATCCATCGACATGTTTGTGGATTCCCACCGCACCCGCTATGGTTGCAAACGGGTACCTGGACATGTAGATGCGATTCGTCTCGTTGACCAGAGTAGTGTAGTCGTTCATCGTCTGCGTCTTCAGGGCATCCGCAGCCGCTTCCACCCGACTCCTGAACCTCAGTCGATCTTCATCGTAGAGTTGCAGCAGTTGTGATCGGCTTGTGAAATAGTTGCTCTTCAAAAAGGTTGCCGGTATATTTGTATGTCGGAGGAAACTGTCCAGGATTTGTAGGATCCATCGGTCAAATTCGTGGTCTTGTAATAGATTGAAAGGCACTGATGTTAAAGGTGCCTTTCTCTTCTTCCTGACATCTGCAACGGAATCGCGAACTTGATCGGTAGTGGAATCATAGTTGAGTATGTTGGATGCAATCACATTTCTCACAGACGGGTAACTGATGTGATCGGGATTGTTTTTGAAGTGGGTGTCATATAGACGCTTTACTCGCGGATCAGCTTGCAGTTCCAACAGGGTGGAGGTGCTCAAACTGTGATCTGGCACTTGGGAAAGAACTTTCTTGACGCTTTTCAAGTAGGTATTGTAGTTATTACCTCCTTTTTGCCGCATGAGTGGTGGTATACCGAGAACTTCCCACGAATTTACTCTCTTCTTGAGGATGTGTTGAGGATGTTTCGACATAAACTGCAAGGTTTGCAACCTTTTACGCTTGGGTATCGAGAAGGATCCCTTTCTGGACCCCACCCTCTGTATACTGCTCGGTAGCCCATTTGAGAATTTCACCGTAAGATGCTCCATTCTTATTCATTATTGGAATTTTTTTTCAATGTTTCGGCTAACTTTTCGGCTAACTTTTCGGCTAACTTTTCGGCTAACTTTTCGGCTAACTTTTCGGCTAACTTTTCGGCTAACTTTTCGGCTAAACACGCACATCAACGAGGTTTTTATTCAAAAGTCACCTTTAATGCAGTGTCTTCGCAATACGTGTAGTACTGATTAGAAGAGCAATCAATGGTTAGGATAGGTCTGCGACACACCGCCAATAACTTCTCATACAATCTAAAGATAATGGATGACTTCGTGCACAGACCACCAAACAGAGTATTGAGATAACGCTTGATATTGCTTTTATCAGTGAAGCGAAATAGATACATAAAGTTTGCATTGATCTTCATGTCCTTAATGTTATCAAAGCTCTGAGAGAGAAAGAACACGTTCAACTTATGATGATGACTGTACATGGTGAAGAACTTGTAGAGACACTCTCTTTGACTGCCGTGCTTCAAACCCATCACTCTGATGTCATCAATGATCACATAGGTGTTAGGCTGGAGATCCATGTCTTCGATACACTCGGGCATGGTGCTGTAATGCTTGAAGGATTTGAGGCTTGGGAGACGATACTGATCGGCCGGCGTGTTGGAGATGACAACTATACGCTCAGGTTGCACACGTTTCAGGAGCTTGATGAGAAAGTAGGATTTACCCATGTTGCTCTGTCCCAGAAACAATACGTTTTGACCCCAGGATTTCAGAGCAGGAATGATTTCCGTGAACCAATCCTTAGACTCGAACTGAAGACCAGGAATGTGCAGCCCGTGTCGAGCAGTGGCCGTGGTCGGAACATCGTCGTTCCTTACGGGACTAGTCTTTTTCTTCCTCCCGATTTCCTGTTCAAGGAGCGAGATAAAGTCCATGATCAGATGTTGTAGGATGGACCGATGTGAGCGGAACTCATAGAAGACGGTCCTGCACTGTTAATGTTCTGTCGAATTTTTTGAGCAAATGGAGTTTCAGGACGGGTTAGGGATCTACGAGGTGCAGACAGGAACGATGAAGCTTCGTCGAGGGCACGATGTCCTAGTTTTTTGAACAATACCCTTCCTTGTTTCTTTATTCCTCGTGCCCTGCGGCCTTTGGAGCGAACTTGACGAGCTGGTTTCTTGGTTTTTCGAGATGCTCGTTGACGAATCTTCTTCGGTGCATGCCGACGACGACGACTTTTAGTGCGCTTCATGGCACCTGCTGAGCTTCCCTTCCTTACTCCTCTGCCGAATATTTTATCCATTACGTTGTCACCCAGTGATGCCATGGTACCCATGGCCAAGGGAGCAGCCAGATTCGTCAGGAGTGGTATGGCCTTGGCGGCTAATCCTGGTGGAATGGCTAGACCTCCTCGGTGCATGGCAGGGTTGTAAGCTGTTTTCATTTGCGTTTCCACAATGTCTCCGGACTCTCCTCTCCCCAAAAGCATGGGAAGAAGTGTCATTCCTGCCATGGCAGCCAGGGGTCCAAGTCCACCGCGTTGCATTGCATCTTGTTTTGTCGTGGGTTCCGCCATCTGTTTTTCCATCTCATCCGGTCCAGCACCGATTAGGTTTTTCCAGAAGCTCTTTTTCCAGAAGAATCCACCGTGTTGTCGACTCGATGTTTTCAAATCACCACCGTAGACACGATGTCTGGTCTCCAGGTCACCACCTTCCATGATGCCCTTTTACTACTAGGTCGGAATTAATTCATACAACTTCGGCTTTGATACCTTCATCTTTGCTCATGGTGTACAAGTACTTGTCCATGCAGAGAAGGTTGACTTTGATCGAGGCGCCATTTTCGCTAGGTCTCCTCACGGGGGCGTTTGTCACGTCGCTAAATTGATAGTCGATGGACAGATTTCCTCTCGATCTTGGATTGTCTGTGGTCCGATCCAGATTCAAGTTGATAGGCACCATAAAGTAGTGATTGCAGTAATCTGCAGCGGTGATGGGGATTTGCGTTCCATACGTCTTGCCGAAAAAGTCTTGAACCAGATTGTAGCCACGCAGGTAGGAGGATTTGTTGTAATCGTAGAAGTATTGCCCTTCAGTATTACGACTCACATCCCACTGGAACTTGAGCGGGTTGTCAAAGAGCGTCTGGTCGTTGACAGTGACACGAAGTTGACTGAGATTTGCATGAATCATGGCCAGTCTGTTCGAAGAATGCGATGCTTGACCTCCAGCCAATGCTGGCTGTGTACCATGAGTCAAATCTGTGAAGAACAGGATCATCCTGCGTGGAATGTCCGCATTGTGAAGCAGTTCCAGTGTACCAGCATCATCTGAAATGCTCTTTTGTATGAGACGAGGGCACCACGTGTGGAAATAGAGTTGTTTGGGAAGGCGTACACGATCGGTGAGATTGGGTTCCATGCGATAGGTAGTGTACACAAAGTCCAATTGGAGTAGATCGATCTCAATATCACCGACGCTCAGAGCACTGTTGGCACCACCGCCTT